GTGTTATTCGTAAATAAATATAGTGTACTTCAAAAATTAGGTCAACTGTGAAAGGGCACATTAGTAACGATAGCATGCAGGCTGCCCAAATCGAATTTAATCAATTGGCGATCAGTGTCTGTAAGTATGGTGTGTACTTTGCGCCGTCTAGGTGCAAATTACTGTTACAAGATTAGCAGGAGCCTGTACCTGCACTCACTCTTGCGAGTGAACCGCTTGAAGTTGTTGATAAGTTTGTGTACCTGGGTAGTTGTGTGAGTGCTGGCGGAGGGGTGACGGATGAGATTTCCAACCGTATAATGAGGGCTAGGGTGGCATACATCAACTTGAGCCACCTCTGGCGCCGTCGCGACGTTAGCCTGGCTGTCGGTCGGTGCGGGCTGCCTTGCTCTACGCCCGTGAAACCTGGCCTCTCCAAGTAGGCTGAGGATGTTCGGCAACTCTGTGTGTTCGATCATCGCTGCCTCCGCAGGATTGGTTGCGTTCGATGGATGGCATCATCGCGTGCGTAATTCTGAGGTTCGGCGCCGGCGTGTGTTTGAACACAGTGGAGATCACCATTCATTGGGTGTCGTCATCTGGAAACACCGACTCCGGTGGTTTGGACATGTGCTGGGAATGTCATCCCAGAGGCTTCCGTACAAGTCTCTGTTCGCTAGCCCTGCGACGTAGTGGGATGAAGGATTTTTGTGCTAGATTAGCATCGGTTGGTGTGTTACGACTCCCTGGTTGGGGTCCGAGAGATAGCTCGAATCGATGGCTCGAAACGTTATCGGATATGGCCAAGAATCGCTGTCATCAGTGGCGAACGTGTTGCAGTTTCCCGATGATAGTTAACGAATACTGTTTGAACTTGTTAAGCATGACTGTTTTCCTTCCAGATGAAGTTCTTTATCCCTTCTCTACTTATATTTTTTTACTTTTGATCTATGTTGTTTTATTATTATTGAGTGACGCATCTTTCTTGGTGCCATATTGTGCCAAAATTTTTTCTGCGTTTAAATAATGATAATAATTATAGTACAACAAAAGATATGAATAAATGATAGTGCGAAATCGTAACCATCTGGATTCCACCAAGTCAGATAGAAGATGAGTAGTTACTCTCACCTATGGCATTGGCTAGATACTGCGTAAAAAATATGTATATATCGCAAATCGGCAAATCGGGTTCCATTGACTGAATGGACCACGAGCTCGCCTCGTAACCTGAAGGTTTTGCCTCTGAAATGATGAAGAGGCCTGAACTTAAGAAGAAACGACTGGCTGTCCAGCATTCTCAGGTTTTCCAATAATTCTGTCTAACTGATGTCAGGTTGTAATCAAGATTGAAACAAATCAAATGCTTACAGACCTTATACTTGAAAATTTTCATACTTGTTGGAAATATGCTCAAAGGATCGAGCGGATGCTGGTGTCTTCCCAGTCCTTCCCTGTGTACTACTTATACCACTTGCTTCAGGCGTTAAATAACCTCTTTTTCTACTGAAAATAGGTTTATTCTCGTTTTGTAATGAATGTACATTTTGCTACGGACCACCAGTTGTCATCAGAAGGTTGTCGATAACGTGGAATGAATGAATATATATGAAGAAGACTTTTTATGTGGTTTTGTCCTCTGAGCTGGATAGTTAATTTCCGAAGCTTTCATCGCTCTACTAGGCGACATCTTCAGCACATACTTCAATTCATTGAAGAGAGCTTTAAGATTTCTCCACGAGTTTATTAATCATCTCTCCTGGTGCGTGACCTTGGACGTGATTGGTTGTTTTTTTGGCCAAAGTGGAGCTTCCCTTCGTCTTCGTATCCATGATCATAAGCTAGCCATCAAAAGACATGACATCCACTTCTTCATATCACTTGCTACTGCATACAGACAACCACGGACATCAATTCGACTGGGACAACCAACGTTCAAATATTAGACAGAGAAAACAACAGAAGAATGCTAGAGAATTTTTAGAAGCCTGTCTGGTATTCCAGTGAATCATCAATCAATACACACACACACACACATCGAGATAGACAAAATTTATCAAACGATAAGAAAGAAACCTCATACACAAATGGTCAAAGTTCAAGTCAAAGAAACAATCAGTTCCAATACAAGTAGCCTAGAAGGTGTGGAAACACACAAAATCAACCAATCACGACATTCTCGGTCACCAGGAGAGATGATTAACAAACTCGTGAAGAAATCTAAAAGCTCACTTCAACGTATTGAAGTATGGCGCAGAAGATATCGCCTAATAGGAGGCGATGAAAGCTTCGTAAATTAACTATCCAGCTCAGAGAACACAACCACATCAAAAGCATCCACCTCAGTTACAAATCTTCTCCATCACACTCCATTTACCACACAAAGAAAAAGAAAAGAGTAAAGTGTGAGTGAGGGAGAAAGAATGGTTCCCTTTATGAATTTCGACAACACAATAAGAAGACGTAGTTTATCTGAAACGTGTAATGTATTGACTGTAACATACGTTAAAGAGAATAATGGATGCCTGCCATTTTTAGACGTATTCATAACCCGCCGCCGATAAGATGGGTCAGTAAAACGATCTGTTTACAGAAAGTCCACATGGACGGGACAGTATCTAAATTATCATAGATTCTGTCCACTTCAGTATAAAAAGGCTTTGGTTAAATGTTTGTTCAAGCGCACTCACCGTATATGTACTGCTGATACAACTGAAGAAGAAAGACAACACCTCACTGAAATACCGTTAGATAACAATTACCCACTGAGATTTATTAGACTTTACGGAAGTGTAAACCATAGGGCTTTAGCAATCCAATCAGCTCCCAAAAAGGATGTTTACACATCCCTGCCGTTCAGAGGTAATCAACAAAGTCTAGTCACTAGACAAAGACTCAAGGCCGCAGTTAATAGAAGCTATTATGCGGATAAACTTATCTTCATAGAGAAAACGAGAACTATGCTGTCCTGTAAACCCTCACACTTTCCGAACGATAGTGCCACATCCCACTGTGTTTATCAGTTTACATGTATGTGTGGAGACACATACATAGGGAGGACCCATCGATCTCTGCAGGTTAGGGCTACAGAACATATACCAAAGTGGGCTGCAACAACAAATAAAATCGTCAGACACAATTGACTCCGGAAATAGATGTCCAACATCATCTATAGCGAAGCCTATTATAGATATGGGTCATAAGGTTGATCTTAATAATGCCTTTAAGCCGATATATAAAACAAGGTTGGGTCACATACTTAAATTCATTGAAGACTTAGCCAAAAACAGACGTAAACCTGTCTTATGTATCCAAAAGTTATTTGTTATCACCTTAAACCTGCCTTGGTAATCCAATTTAGAACCAAGGACCAATTTACTTCATAATATTTTCAAACCCCTTCTTTGCCTTGTTTTCCCTCCCTTTATCTTTCTTACCCACACCCTTTGCATCTCCCTACGCAATATTTTGTTACCTTGACCTGTACACACAATCTGACCTGTATTGTAATTATTCATGCCTTCTTGCCTTCTATAAAAACTGTGAATGACAAGTACGTGTGAGGTCAAATGTCCGAAATGTGTTGCGCCAATACATTACACGTTTCAGGCAAACTACGTCTTCTTAGTGTGTTGTCGAAAAAGAATAGTAATATGGAAGGACAATAGAGTTTAATTGGATATGAAAAATCATCACAAAGGGTGAATGAACGCATCTGCGCCATCACTGACTGAGAACGATGATTTCGAATAATATCACCAATTGTTTCTTAGAATCCCGAGGACCCCAATCAGCCTGGCAGTCTACACCTCCCTACATGGCTGCCTGGCGAGTTCAAACTAACTGTTATGGATTTCGTTGACTGATGCCACCATAGTTTTGGTTCCAACCTGATCCATCCTATGTCAGCTGACATTGGCTGTTGAAGAAGGCGATGGCTGTCTAGGCATGCGTAACAAGTGTCCTGGTTATTTCAATCAGTTGACTTTACAACCTTGTCAATTGATTTTCCCTCCTTACCTAACAGTTGACATCTAACCTCAATATTACTCACCTTATTATACCTACCACCTAACATGGGAAATAGAACAAACACACCTATGATCAAAGTTAGTTAGCCTTTTCATATCTCTCGCTTTCAATGGCCATGTCTAACAGTCATCAACGAGGACGGAGAGAGCTACTGAGCAGTACACGCGCCCTTTGACCGATAACCAGTCGCATATCACGTCTACTCAGCCATCGGATTACATTTCGGATTGTGAGGGCGATTCTTTTGTTTGTTCTTTATTGTGTGGTGTGTCTCAGTAGCATATTTTTCACTCCTGTCCTGTGACACGGCAGCAGGAAGCGCGGTCGTTGTTAATCCGGGCCCCGACCGATCCGGCATGATATTCTGTAAATTTGTATGTGTCATAGTGTTGGATTGGGTAGCTGCTTTTTGTTTGACCGCTATCCAAACAACCTTTCTGGCATGGTAGGACGTCAAGAGGCATAAGTCTCAGCGAGTATAGCTTGATTAGGTCATTGCGGTGTTCCAGCCCGACCACCACGTCAAGGTAACAGCTTTCGGTCGGGCTACTCAGCCAGAGATGGCCTAAGTTGGTATATGCCAAAAGGGCCTTCTGTATCCGTGTTGAGATTTCCTCAGAAATTGATCAGTTGGAGTTGATTCAAACTTCCCAAGTAAAAGTGACTGAAGTGGTCAACACGCTCCACCAACCACTTCACTCCCGTCTGTCTTTAAGCTAAGGAGTGGATGTAGCTAATGGGTCGTAGGTCCGAATCCCATTCCACCACCTACGTCAGCTTGCCTGGGCAGCTTAATAGTATCATCAGCACTGGCACAATATATTTTGGATCATAACCTGTCCTGGGGTCTGAGTTCAAGAAGTTCAAGAGTTTATTCACATCATATTAATCAAATTTGTTTTCTTGAAGTGTCACTTTCCATAGTTACTGTTCTTTTTTCTGTCTATATGTTTATTTTTCATTTTTCAAATATTTTTTATTCATTTTAGAACTATCCAAAATGATGTTATACCGGTTTTGAAAAGGGTCATAGATTATGATTTTGATCAGGATGTTCGCTTTTTTGCACAGGAAAGTTTAAATTGTAAGTTTGATTAGTTTTATTGTGTTTTTATTTTCATACCTCTAAAGTTTTTCGAATTGCTTTTTACCTGTTGTCATTTCGACTCGATGATGGCAGGCGTTAGAATACCGGACAATGACTTCGTTCTATTTGGGAGTCATTATCAGCCGAAATCACCTGTATTCTCAAAGGATTAATTTCAACAAGCTGATTCCCGCGGCACGTTAAGTAGCTGCCTTGACTCTTTACATTTTGAGGCGATAAATGATGATTTGGGGGTCTCATTGGGAACACTGTCATTTACTAGGAGTGCACATACAGGTGACTGTCGAGCCGCAGATAAGACGAAATGCGTCTATTGAGTTTTAGTGTTATCCATAATCAACCAAATGACATCATGTTTATACCCAAAGCATGTACACACTAAAAGCCAACCTGTCTCATGAGAGACTGAGTATTTCTATCTAATAAAACAAACCAGTTGGTTCGAAATAAATACTGGTGATGATGATAATAATTTCAATTTTACCAATCATTTGTAATAAAAGATACTAATAACCTTCTTTATCCTTCTGTGCTGCATTTCATCAGAAACATATTTTGAAATAGAATAAATAAATGTGACACGTTTCATCACGAGCTATCATCAGTTAGGCAACAAGGAATTGAAAATCCAATCAGTACTGGACTGCTGTTTAACCCTAGTTGTGAACTCTCCATCAGTATATATATATCCAGCAGGGCCCGTACTCAGGACTTTCCGGCTATAAAGTGAGCTCGGACAACGACGATTTCTAGCCACTGTGATCCGTTGCAGTGGCCCATGATTTCCAACCAGTTGTAACTGGAAAGGTTCTGGGTTCGAGTCCCTGTGTGTGTACTACGAAGATCTCTCAACTCAGAAGAATTAATAGTTGTCCAATACACCCTGGTTTCCCATTGGTTCTCCGACTGATGTCACCTCGCGATCGAACCTCTAACCAATCAAATCCCTGCAAAGCAGCACTTAAAAATAGTGTATTTGTCTATTTGTTGGCGTATTTCGAAGAAACAATAAAACAGAAATAGGGTGATGCTTTACAATAGTGGAAATGTGTAAAATTCCACAAAGGGAACACTTGATATCATTTTGTGACCAATAATAACGGTGAGAGCCGGAAAAACACTACCGATAGTCTCTTAAAGCCTGTGGAATCGTATTAACAGTTGGGAGAAAGCCAGATGATGTTGACAAAGATAAGGCCAGGGGGTGATGATCAGGGGATTTTTGTGTGCTTTTAGAAGTGTGTGGGCGATCGTCACTTCCGGTCCGCCAACACTGTGAAAGTTGATTTTTTCTTCGGGTACCCTGTAACAAAAAGAGAATTAGTTTTGTGACAGCTGCTTAACGCTGGTTACATACGACCTATTTGGTTATTAGCGTCGTGTGCGTATTAGACACTTAATACCGGCTACGGACCTCTGTAAGTTAAGTCAGGATGTACAATTCTTGGGGTCGACCTTTTGTAATCCACCTCTACAGATTAAAGAGGTAGTATAGCTGGTCATTTAAGGGAAACACCTAACAGCGGTTATATCCTTTTTACCCGACGGTGCAATTTCGCCCACAGACCCCAAGCATAGTGTGAATATCTTACACTATGCCGCTTTTAGTTTAATCACTATCCCAACAACCTGCAGGAACAATTGTCCCAGACATTGTAGCGATATGCAAGCCCGACCACCGTGTCATGGTAGCAGCTATCGGTTGCGAGGTTATTACTATTATTATTATTATTATTGTTCCCTTGGGTTCCTAGTGGAACTTCCGCACATTTGTGCAAAGTTCTATGTCGAAAACAGACAACAGACAGTGGAACATAGGGCTTCAAATTCACGTTTCCATTTGCTTCTGTCTTCCTTCTGCTGTACTTTTCACCTAAATCCATGTTAGTCCATACTGTTTTAACTCCTCTTCACATCATCTCCTCCATGTCACCCTTGCACTGACAACCCACTCTCCACTTCCCTTTCGGCCTGGTTCCACTCGAGCGATGGCCTGACGCGCGCGCGATGTTACCCAGCGAGCGGTCTCCTCATCGAGTGTCCAATCCATCTCCACTTTCTTCTGCATATTTGTTGGTTGGCGATTGGTTCTTGTTTTGTTTGTTCCCATAGTTCCCTGTTGGTGATTCTTTCCGACCTGGCCATCTGATCTTCAGTATAGATCCAGCGAAGACAGTTGTTGGTTGATAAAGGTCTGCAACAGGCTGTTTGAGATATTCTTTGTGACCCGCCCGCCATGTTTCTGATTCGTATAGAAAGAAAAGGTGACTGACTTGACGTTTGTATGTAGCCTGTAATACCGAAAATTTGTTCAGCGTAAAATGAAAGTCTGCAGTGCCCTGTAAAAGTTGTGAGGTGTATTGCTTAGCCCATAGCCCGAACCGCATAAGTCTGTATCGTGTAGTTGATGAGAACGGCTTGCTCTAACAGTGTGAAATATAGAACATTCGATTATTTTAGTTTGTTTATTATTGTTATTATTATTATTATTCTCTAAGCTGCTTGTTTATCCCATTTACGAAATAACATTAGCAAGTTGTCAACAATATATGGCTATGGATGAATTACTACGGCACAAAAGTTATGTTAGATATAGAAATTGAACGGTGAGGGAATCATAGTGTAATTGTGTTATTGAAACAGTATCACAAATGGTAATGCAATAATAATAACAACAACAACAACAACAACAAAACAAGAAAAAAATATCGTCACAAAAACAAACTTTTATAGAGTAAAGCAAAAAAAAATACTCAACCACAATCTATGGGAGCGCATATTGTAAAAGCCAGGCTATTGATTCACCTTTCATCATAGAGTATAACTTGGTATGTTAAACCTACGCTAAGCATAGACAGAGAGACACACTTTTTTGATTTGGTTGTGTTCCCTGAGCTGGATAGTTAATTTTGCAAAGCTTTCATAGCCCCCATAGTAGGCGACATCTACAGACTAAATTGTAACACCTGCAAAATACACTACATTGGCCAAAGTGGACATCCACCCCCTTCGTCTTCGTATCCATGATCATAAGCTAGCCATCAAGAGACATGATATCCACTCCATCATATCACTTGCTACATACAGACAACCACGGACATCAATTCGACTGGGACAACCAACGTTCAAATGTTAGACAGAGAAAACAACAGAAGAATGCTAGAGAATTTTTAGAAGCCTGTCTGGTATTCCAGTGAATCATCAATCAATACACACACACACACACATCGAGATAGACAAAATTTATCAAACGATAAGAAAGAAACCTCATACACAAATGGTCAAAGTTCAAGTCAAAGAAACAATCAGTTCCAATACAAGTAGCCTAGAAGGTGTGAAAACACACAAAATCAACCAATCACGACATTCTCGGTCACCAGGAGAGATGATTAACAAACTCGTGAAGAAATCTAAAAGCTCACTTCAACGTATAGAAGTATGGCGCAGAAGATATCGCCTAATAGGAGGCGATGAAAGCTTCGCAAATTAACTATCCAGCTCAGAGAACACAACCACCTCAAAATCATCCACCCGAACTAAAAATCTTCTCTATCGTATAGAGACACACATACACCAATGTTTAGACAATTGAGTAACGATTGATGTATGCACCGTCGTAGATTATTGTGGTGAAGGTTTTGGTGTTAGCCATCTTAGGATCAGGTTGGAAAAGGGTTAGCACGTGGTGGTCAAACCAAAACTTGGAATCAATTCATGAATTCATTAACAGTTGGTGTTAGTCATGTAAGGACGGAGGTGTATACTGGTTGGGCTGGTAGGAATCTTCGGGATGGTGAGAACCAATGACAACTGGAAACTATCATTGGTGATGTGGCTGAAAATCGTTCCCAATGATGGTGTAGATATAGTCATTCTATGTGATCCGTTATATCCTGTCTGTCTGTCTGTCTGGATTCAACATAGAACTTCGCACCGAAGTGCACCAGTTCAAGTTGCCACGTTCCAAATAGCACACAGAGATAGACAAGAAGATGAGTGAAGAGAATCAATACAGTCTGACAAGTATAAGAGTGAAACAGAATGGGTAATGGTAGAAAGGAATATGAAAGATTACAGAGACTGAATACATCGGCGCTGGCCACTGACAACGATTTTGAGCCATGTCACCTATTGTCTCCAGCCATTGATTCCTAGAGCCAATCCCGAGGGCCCCAACCCGGAAGTCTTCATCTCCCTACCTGACTGAGTTTAACTGTCAAGGATTTCATGGATTGATGAGGCCATATTTTTGTTTGGCCACCACTTACTCTTTTCCAACCTGCACCTATCTATGTCAGCTAGTAATGCCCATCGGGGGAGGCGATGGTTAGGCAGCACGTTATATCCACTATTCTCTCTCCCCCCCTCACATCCCTGCCTATTGGTGTTTTGTCGAATCTCCCTGTTTTCCCCTCTTTTGTCCTTCTTTGTGTGTGTGTGTGTGTGTGTGGTATATGGAGTGTGGTAATTGGCACTGCTGCACATGTGTGCAAAGTAGCTCTATGTTTAAACCAGTCAGTCACAGTAGAGATGTATGTGACTCAATAGCTTAAACATCTTACTACTCGGCCAGTGGGTTGCAGTTTCACTAACTCACTCGATTTACGTCATCTTGAACGAACTTTCAGCCTTCACATTATCAAATGTGGGATTTACTGCCCCTGGGAGGGGGGTGGTTATATAAAACGTCTTTTCTAGATGGGTAGGTGGGACATCTAAAACCATCCTAACTAGGATCCATAATTAAGGCAGGAATTACGGTGGCATTTAAATCTACAAATTTACTCGAGTAGGACAAGCACTGTTGGTGAAAGGACCCGGTAGACCGAATTATGCAATATAATATAATTTACCTTGTAATGACTGTGAACGAAGTCAACTACATAGATCAGACTAGTAAATCGGGAGTAGTCAGATTGTCGAAACATAAAAATTTAGCTACAGTAAGAATAGTTGACCCCGAAAAGATAAGTAATTTAGAAAAAAGCCCATCAACCGCACTGCATGCATTAACACACGGTCATACAATAGGGTGGGAGAGGGTTACAATTCTTAAAAGTAATCTAGGTAGGTGGAGAGAGAGGTTGATCACCGAATCCTTGTTCATCGAGTCTACACCCAACACATGCATTAGGAATGACTCATCAGTCATACCAGAAAGACGGGAAATATTGCTCCCAATCAAATGTAGGAAGTGAGAAATAATGGAATTATGTTAAAAATGAATTAGGAAAGTTATATGATATTCTATAGTTTGGTTTGTAAGGGTTAGTTTTGTTTTTACGAGTTGATCGGTTGTCAACCTTATATTAATCTGATGCTCGCTAGTAACTTGCTACAGGTTAGAGTTTCCTGTAGATGTGATATCCGACTATCGACCAAAGGGCGGGTGTACTGCTCATCAGTCCACTCCGTCCTCCTTTATGACTGGCTGTGAGACGTGGCCATGGAGAGTGCAAGACATCAAAAGATTAGCTGTCTTTGATCATAGGTGCCCGCGCTCTATCTCCCGTGTGAAGTGGTATAAGAGGGTGAGCAATATTGAGGTTAGGCATCGGTCGAGTGCTAGGTAAGGAGGGGAAATCAATCGACGGGGTTGTGAAGTTACATCGACTGAGATGGTTAGGATATGTGTTACGTATGCCTAGTCATCGCCTTCCTAGACGAGCAATGTTAGCTGATATAGGGTCAGGTTGGAAAAGAGCTAGCGGTGGTCAACCCGAAACATGGCACCAGTCAATGAAATCCACAACAGTTAGTTTAAGTCACGTAGGAAGGTGTAGACTGGCTGACTGGTCGGGATCCTCGGAACGGGGAAACCCAATGATTGGAAACAATTGGTGATATGGTTGACTCAAAATCATTCCTAATGACAGCACAGATGCGTCCACTCCTTGTGACTTATGATTTTGAATGAAACTGTTTTGTTCTTCGTTACTACTATTCCTTTGTCTCATTTCCCTGTTTACTGTCTCTATTATGCATTTCTTCTACTTTCTTCTTCGCTGGCTTTGTGTTCTACATGGAGGGAGTGTGGCGACTTGAACTGGTGGACGTCAGTGCAAAGTTCTATGTTTAAAACAGACACCGGAGTTTCCTGTAGTTCTAGTGAGAAGTCGTGACCAGTGAGGTCCATCCAGATGTCACGTGTGTGGATGGATGTCCCTATGACACCTATGGCAATGGTTGGGGCCGCGCTAAATCACGAATTGGTAGAAGTTAGAATTCATGGACTGGCCATCGAATCGGGTTCCAGTGGCTGAATGGTATACGAGACAGCTTGCCTTGTAACCGGAACGTTCTGGGTTCAAACCCCCCTGTGGCGGGTGCTTACTTCCAATGATTCCCAAAGTAGGATGAAACATCATCTGTCCAGTACTCCAGTACGGGTTTTCAATGGTTCTCTAACTGATATCAATCCGTGATCAACTCGTAAAAAGTTATATGGGTAATGCCTTGATATGATTAATATGAGGAGTGATCAATTGTGCTCGAAACGTGGTCATCAGTAAGCATTACTATGACGAAATTATCATGCTTTTTTTTAAAAAGTTTATATACCATTTATGTTTTATAATAACTGCTTGTTTTGTTCTCTCTCTCTCTCACCCCGCCCCGTCTTTTTTCCCTCCTCGTAATTGTGTAGATTTTACAGCTGCAGCATGATATATACACTCACGCATTTGTGAGTGCGTGTGTGTGCACGCATGCACGCTGTTTCTTTCTTCACCTTCAGCAAGAATATCATCATCATCATCATCATTGGCATTCTCATCTCTTCTTGAATTATTCTTCATCAAGGAATCAACCGGCATTCATCACATATTTGGTTGACAGTTTTCGCCTCCTATTGGATTATGCGAGGAACAACTGGGAACACCCTCCTTTTTGCTCTAAAGTCATTCAGCGTATGTGTCTGTCTATCTATCCATCTACCTGCCTGTCAGTATTTCTATCGGCTTGTGTTTCTGCTGGTTTCTGTTCTCTTTCATGTCTGCAATAGCCGTATTGACTAATAATATTCATAATATATATACATATACTATATAATATATACTATATATATATATTTCTATTCTGTGGATTACCTTCCTCTATTTTTGCGTCTTCTCCCTTGTGTCTGTGTGTGTGTGTGTGTGTACGTGTGTGTATACCCCCATTATGCTCCACAGTACAGTATACCTGTGTACACACTCACGCCACACACTCCTATTGCATCCTTGTCACATTCTGTTTCTATTATTTAGCAATGACATCAACACCAAATAGCACAGACAGCTAATAATATAAATAAATATTTTATAATTAATTATACTTAGTTATCCTGTATACACTCTGGAGACGACGACTACTCAACTCACCGACGAGGAGTTTTGTCTTGTCTTGTTTCGTTTGGCTTTAATTGTCGCTCCTGTTTTCACCCTTTTCAAATTTCCCCTCTTTTATTATTGATGAATGAAATCAAGTATTGAACAGAAATGCATAAAATAATATTGTTTTTTCTTTTGTTTATTTGTTGTTTCATTGTTTGGTTCCCCTTGTTTTTTTTGGTGTTCGTTTTTACAACCAAAACAACCCCATTGAGACACACACGCACCCACACACACTCACAAATACAATAAACACAAATTTATATACGCGCATTATTGTGCTGGTCGCTTTCAATATCTCTGCATATACATACATAAATATTCCCTTCTCATGCCAAAAACACCCACCCTTCCCTGCCGTTCAAAAGAAATGTCGAAAACAGACAGACAGTTCAAAAGAAATTGATCTGATAAATGGCTTTCTTGTGGTACGCGTTGTTGTTGTTGTTGTTGTCTATGTACCCCTACCCACGGGAGCAGAGGGGGTTGATTGTCCTCCTACCTTCCTTTTTCTCTCTCTTCTTGTTCTCCTTCCGCTTCTTCTTCTTCATGAAATCATCGTCATCATTTGTCAACTTAGCCGGATCATCACAGTGACTCAGCGAGAATGCTGAAACACACCGACATTACACCGACACCCAAAGACAGACAGTTAATGCATGTGAAATTCTTTATCTACTCTGCACATTCAGCGTATACTTTTATATTCTCTTTTTCTTATCATGTTTTCGTTGTCTCTCCTTCGGATCCCTTTTTTTATTGGCTCCTCCCCCTGACTATCCATCCGCCTCTTAATTTTTTCTTCGTCTTTACACAGCACACACACACACCCATTTCATTGTCATTTATATTGTGTAACTTACCGCTTTACACGAAGAGAACATTTGCGAGTGTGTGTGTGTGAGTGGGTCTGCATGCATGTTGATCATGTGGAGTGATGAAAAACTGCCTTTAAAAAAGAAACGTAAAGTAATATTTACTCAATTAATTATTTAATATTATAATTACTAATTGGATTTGTGTGTGTGACTGTGTGGAGTATATTCTTGAATAAAGGAAAAAATCTCTAGTTCTTCTGTAAAACTTTACGCTTTATAATCAATAAAGGAAGAAAGGAATAATGGTGTGTAATAATAATAATAATGTATTAATGAATCCTGTAGCTAATCAATCAAATCCCTACAAACCAACACTTGAATATCAATGAGATGTTCACTAACGACTTGCCCTATTCATGTAGGTAGTTACCCCTGGGGTTCTAGTGAGAAGGGTGCAGCAGGTTGGCTGTGAGGACAAATACTCGCCACAGAAGACATTGGCTGGGGGTCGCGCGCTATTTCGTGAATTACCAGAAGTTGGAATTCATCAGCTGGCGGCCATTGGATCGCGTCTCAGTGGCTTATTAATGGTCTATGAACTCGCTTGTCTTGTAACCAGAAGGTTTTGGGTTCGTACCCTGTCGGTGGTGTGTGCGTACTGATGAAGAGTCCCAAACTAGGACGAAACAACTGTCCAGTACTCCCAGTTGGTTTTTCCAGTGGTTCTCTAACTGATGTCAGCTCATGGCGAATTCCTCCATGCAATTAGTTAGTTATCAGTGAGTGATAGAACTTGAATATGTATAGATGGACAATTGCGAACTAAATAATACTGATGATAATAACAGTAATGCTGCTAATAATAGTAACAATCAATAATAACGGTAGAAAGAGTTAAGATAGCGGTACTTATCAGAAGATAGTTTTTACTAAATCAGAAATAGTAAAAAATAAGTGGCAGAATAAAATATTAATAACAGCAAATAAGTAAAACATATTACCATGCTAGATTTAGAGGGAACACAATTTCAAGCATCTTCTTGTTTGTGTGTCTGCTGACTGACAACAGTGCGTAATTATCATATCCGTCGTTCACAAGATGATTTGTTTTTGAATTTTGTTGGCACTTGGACTTCAGTTGTCTTCAACCATCTTGATGGATGCTCCATCATGCGAGTAGATAGGTAATCGCCTTTCTGTACAATCTAATTATTCGCTTCTACAAAAACACATTAAAATTGATCTACGCTGTTTGAAGTGTCCAGGATTAGCGACTGTTTTTTCCCAGATTTTGGAAGTACTCACTTAATCGTGTTTAGGAAGATGAGTTTTGCAGCAAAAATAAGTTCTCTTGATGGTTTTATCGAATCTTCGTTGGACTATCTGTTGTACTTCTCCTTTGAACGGCGAATTGATACATATATACAAATTTCTTTGGGACTATTTGATTTATTTTTACTGAGGCGTATTTATTGGTGAACTACTCAGGATATTCATTCTTAAATGAAATATCCCTGTATGTAGGGAGCATTCAGTTGAGGAGTGCTATCGAAATTCGATGAATTCATTCAATCCTGCTTTAATAACTTTTGTTGCTTGTTTAAAATTCGTATCGGGAAATAAATGTTGCCAATTCTCAAAGAAACGCCTCGTGGAAAACACTATCTGAGGACAGTATTATTATTTTGAGTAAACGTGAAGATTGTCCGGGACAATTTCAATGTTGTGTGTTGACTTGGCAGTAATTTCGTCACTATCAAGATTTGCATTTATGAGTTGATGACAGTGAGTATGACATCAAAATAGATGAGCACGTGTTTTCCAGGGAAAGAAGGGAAAACTGTTTCCCTTGTTACAAACTTTAGACTTTTTTTTAAAAATTTGATCACGGATTGACATCAGTTAGGAGGAGTACTAGACAGTTTTTTCGTCCTAGTTTGGGACTCATCGGTACTGTGCACCCACCTCGGGACGGTAAAAATCTATGGTTGGAAACAATCGGTGACATGGCTCAAAACCGTTCTCAGTGGCGCAGATGCATCCACTCCCTGTGACTTATGATCTCCAATGAAACTGTTTTGTTATTCTTTATTCTCCTTTGTCTCACACCTCTGCTCACTGTTTCTATTATGCTTTTCTTGTACTTTCTTCTCTTGCTTCGCGTGCTACACGGAATGTGGCGACTTGAACTTCTGCACATTTGTGCAAAGTTCTATGTCGAAAACAGACAGACAGATAGTGCACCCACCGGATTTCGGGAGTGAGGACAAACACTCGCCTCGGATGGCATTGGCTGGTGGTAGTTAGAATTCATAGGTTGGCTGACTGCTCTAAGAAACGTACCTTGTGACCAGAAGGTCACCTGGTTCGAAACTCGTTGGTGGATGCGTACTGCTGACGAATTCCATGCTAAGGCTAAACAGCTAATCAGTGCTAATTTTCAATGGTTCGCCGACTGATATGAATCCGTGTTGAAACTTGAAGCAAATCAGATCCCTACAAAAATTTTGATTTAATGACGCCATCTTTTGTCTTCTTTGTAAGTATAGTGGTTGCTGATTCTCTTCTAATTTACTTTCATCATCAGATAACTCATAGAGAACATGAGAGTTCTTTGAGATATCATATTCCACGAGTTCAGAGAATCTAGATCAGACGGTACCAATATGACTGAGGGTGTATTGTTTCACTGTGGCACGTGAGTTGGAGGATATATGGCGTAATATCAGATTCTTCCAGAATGCTTTTCAAGACAATTCTTTCAGAAGGAAATCTTTGAATTTGCCTCAGCAGGCTTGGCGAACAAATGTAGTTACGTGGTCAATTTTTCTTCATCGTCGAATGGTCCTCGCTAGTCTTCAAAGCTCATCATGGAAAGTGATAATGGTTATTTTAAAAGTAATAATGGTTAGTTACAGAAACTGAACAATTAAATGCAGTGGGAAGGGAGGTCGCAAACTGATGAAGACCCAGGAATTACCAGACAGCTGTTTCTTCCTAGTTTGGGACTCATCGTTAGAAGTACGCACCCACCGGGTTTCGAACGCTGGACCTTCCATTTACGATGACATCCCGTTGACCATTCAGCCACTGGAACGGAATCCAGTCAGTCATGGATTCTAATTTCCACAAAATCGGCGTGATTTCAGTCTATCTACTAATCTGGAAGTTAGTGTGGACAAGATTTATAGCTCAAACGAACTTTTTTGATGTTTTTTTCCTCACCTGGTGGCGATGTCTTAAGGAAGAACGGAAATTTCACGATGAAATCGCCTCGCTTAGGGTTCTCAACAATTAACTAAGAACCCATTACCCAGAGAATATCCGGAAGAAAATGGTGATGAATTGGATTCACTCTGTGGAGACCATAAAGCAACATCACGCACCATGCCCAGTACCCGAGTGTAAACTTGAATGGATAACGACGATGAACATTTGAGTATGATGTGGAAGGGGTCGTATGCAGAGGAGATAAGAG